GTGATTATATACTCTATAATATCATATCATTCAAATCACTACCAACTGTTAGTTACTTCATTTGGAAAATTGACAAAATAAACTTCAACTTTCTAAAATAAAGCAAAACAATCTCCAACTCACAAATACGACATTATAACCTTCAATTTCCAGTCAAACATGAATAAATCTCATACTTTCGTTGACCAATAAATTTTTGTCTCGTCAAAACTCAACCGTCTAGTTTCGTTAGTTATATTTAATGATTGACTTTTAATGAGTCCAGAATGGCTTGGTCAACGAAAGTATGAAATTTTTTTATTCTTATTTAAAAGTTGAAGATTAGAATTGCTTACCTAAAAATATCTTAACTAGTAATTGTTGTTTTGTTTTATTTATTTTACAACAAAAATCATAGTTTTTCATATCGATTAGAATGACTAACTTAATAAAAATGTTCAAATAAGCTTAGATATAACATTTTAAAATAAATTAACAACTAAAATTGTTTAGTAAAAAAACTTGATTAAAGATACAATTATACTGTACATTCAGATATAAAATAAATAATTAAGTGCTTATGTTCAAAATAATTTTAAGAATAAAAACATAAAAGTTAAAGGTAAAACCCTAAACACATTGTTGTTAGAAGTATAATTAAATATACTCGATAGAGGATGAAACAAGTATAAAAGAGGAAGTCAAGTGCGTGAAACGGATTTCCAGCAGTTGATGTATATAAACTGTTGTCTTGGTGAGCCGAATATCCTTTCACGCACTCACATTCGGCCTTTCTCATTCGTTTCATCTTCTAATTATAATTGTATTTTTAATTAAGTTTTCTTAAACAATTTTTAGTTTTTAATTAATTTTGTAAATATTATATCTAAACTTATTTGCACATATTTCATCTTCTAATTATAATTGTATTTTTAATTAAGTTTTCTTAAACAATTTTTAGTTTTTAATTAATTTTGTAAATATTATATCTAAACTTATTTGCACATATTTTATTAAGTTAGTGATTACAATCGATATAAAAAAAATTATTTTTCTGTCAGTAAAAATAATATTTAGTTAAGATACTTTAAAATAAGCAATTTTAATCTTAACTTTTAAATTAGGTTAAAAAAACTTCATACTTTCACTGATCAAGCCATTTTGGACTCATTAAAAATCAACCATTAAATATAACTAACGAAATTAAACAATTGACTTTTGACGAGACTAAAATGGCTTGATCAACGAAAATATGAGATTTATTTATTTTTGACTAGAAGTTAAAGGTTAAAATGTCGTGTTTGTAAGTTGAAGATTTTTTTGACTTATTTTCAAAAATTGAAGGTTATTTTGTCAATTTTCCTTTATTTCAATTGTTTCACAATGTCGGTGAAATAGATGGCAAAGTTGCACTGAGAAGTGAAACCTAAGTCAAAGAAGAAGGAAATGTTTGCTTGTGTCTTTTGTCAACAATTATGTCCACCAACTCCTTAAGCTCCTCCTATAAATATACATGCTTCTCGTTTCTGAAATTGCATCCCAAAACAAAGCAAGATAGGACAAGAGAAGAAGAAGAAACCGACGAGCTAACTAAAAAGAATCTAGAACACTTTTGTTAGAGGTCCCCGATTTGAATACGTTATGTAATATGGAGAGAGGATTAAACAAATGGCTCTTGTTCTCTAGTCCTAGAGGAATTATTGGGCGTAAGGTCCAAACCACCTCCGAAAAGAAAGTGAGCAAGAGAAAAAAAATAAAATATTTAAATGGGTGTAAGTTGAGAAAGTTGTAAAATTTTCCAGGTTAATAATAAAATATTTGTAGCAGGTTAACAATTTGTGTGTGTTTTTCTTGTTTCCATAAATTAGCTTCCCAGAAAATTTGATCATATTTCCTAACACGAAAAACATAACATTGTTCAACAGACAACACCTTCTGAACCGTCATGGATAAGTAAGTAGTCGTTTCTCGTTCTTGCTCATCCAAGCAGAACCTAAAGCGTCATTATTTATTTTTGTAACACAGAGTTGCAATCATTAAGATAAAGTAAAACTTGCTTTCAGATTTTATTCTTAAGGTTACCAAATTTTTTTTTCAATACAAAGGTCGATAAGCTTATTATATAAAGAGTACTCTGTTTCTTATAACAAAGTTTGATAAACACAAGAGTAACTAATGCAAGTACTCTTCTTCTTTTACTCTGTTCTCGTCTTGGCTTTCTTGGTAGATCAGACTCATACTCGCTCTCGAGACGATACAATCTCAAGTCATAGTTGAGACAGTTGTTGCAATCTTTCTCATACAAATCTGGCGTGCACTGCACGGAAGCGAAGAATGTCGTGTTAAGTTGTGGACCAGTACCGTTTCCTTGAGCATACTTTCTCTTAGCTCCACCTGCTGCAGCTTCTTGTCTGAGTCGGTTAAGTAACTCGTTCTGGAACCGAATAAACTCGTCTCTATCCCCCGTTGCGTTGTTATGGCTAGGTGCCTCCAAGACAGGGACCCTTTCGAGTTTCCCTACAATAGGTTTGTCAGAGTAACGAAACATACATTTCGTGGCACGCACGTAAGCTTCTCTATGTTGTGGACAGTAAGTTGTAGTTAGGTTTACTGCAGCTTGGGAGATACAGTTGAGACAGTCTACTCGTGTGAGTACTCTGTTGCAGAGTCCTATGGCTTCTACTCGTTCTTGATCTCCGACCAAGAAGCTGTAGAAGTTGTAGGTGTTGGGTTGGCGAGAAGGGATTGAAGAGACAAGACGGTTAAGGTTGTTGGAGAATAAAGATCCGGAGAAGTTGCTTTGTTGGGATAAACATGTTGCGTTTGAAGGGAGGTTCCTTATAGAACTGTCAATTTTTATGGTGACTGGTTCTGCTAAGCTGAGAAATGGGACGAACGAGAAGAGGAAGACCAAGTGTTGTGGTCGAGGAGAAGAAGAACATGTCATGACCATAGTGAATTTTCTACAGACTTGAAATGTTTTAGCTTCTTCAGTGGTTTTCTTAGTTTATATATTTGAAACCGAACCATATTAAACGCTAAGTTCATAGACCATAAACATGAAAAGTCTACAGATTTTTAAAAAAAAGAATGAACGCAACTTGTTGTTGATGTCCGTGACTTACGTCAACATAGGGGGTCCCTGCTACATCGCTATAACAATGTCATTAGATAGCTGAATTAAGTTAGTAATCTAGGATGGGTGTTGATTTAAAAAATTGTTAAGCTTATAAACCATTCGTTCACTAACTTGACTAAACTACCAAGCGGGTGGTGGTATAAAAGTAGAGTACAAGAGTTTTTTTTTTCATTGATTCAATATGTATAGTAAAAATGTGAAACTAAATATATAATTAGATACTGAACGTTCTTATTATTGGAACTAATAATAAATACTAGAAAAGCAGAACCATCATAAACGGCAATGGGGTACAAAAGTTGAACCATAAAAAACGGTGCACTGGCTTCACTTAGGTGTATATATGTGATATGTCTATTCTCCATAGCTGAAACCGACCGTAGTTAAGGAGATTTTCAGAAATGTTATTTTCTGATATTTTCGAAGTATCAATTTAGAAGGTTTAATAAAATTCTTTATTGATATTGTAAACATAAATTTTAAATGTTCAGAAGTATTTAAAGCTGCTTTACAAAATTTTAATGATATGTTATGAACTTATATAGTTCAAAATGTTTAAAAACACAATACATAACATTATAAGTTAATTTGAACATGTATAAAGTAAATTATTATTTTTTATTTGCTACGGCTGATGCGGTTATGGACAGCAGCTTATAAAAATTTTAATACTTACAGAAATAGTAAAATTTTGAAAATTGATTTTATAGTATTGTTGAAAGAAAAATAAGTCAAAATAATTTTATCAGTTTTTCTTCATCACATATGTCACTATAACCACTAGTTGCATACTCCCCGCGCAAGCGCGGAACCGGGATCATTATGTTTGCGTATATTTTTTCGATTGTTGGTTTAGTGGATTCTTCTAATGACACCAAATAATAATGAAATAGAAAGAATGTAGTAAGAGTGTAAAGTGAAAATATTGTATATCTAATGTGTTAAATGTTATTTATATGCGAAGTAAGATTTATAGGAATAGTTAGGCTATAATATAGTTTTTAGTGTGTAAAAGTAAGCGTCTATTTTTTTATTTTTGCTGTAAATAGTTTTTATATCGTATGTCAAAACTTGATATAATTCTATATTTATAGTATTTATATTTGTATTAAACAATTTATCAATTTAAAAATAACCTTAATTAAATAAATATTCGTTGTTTAAGTTTCATTAGATAGGTTTTTATATATGGTTTTTTGTAAGTTTGAGTTTTGTTCATAAATGATGTGGCATTTTTATCTACGGCGTCATCGACTGTGGGAATCCATTCGCCGAAGTCTGGAGTCGGTGGTGAGGAATGTTTTCAATGAAATTATAGTAGTTATTAAAATGTAAGAGAAATTACATATTCATTTAATAAATAACAAAAAATACTTAAAATTTTGTTGTTTATTTTATTTTCTTTCACATACAATTTTTTTTTTAAAATATATTAGGAATGTGTTAAATGTTATTTATATGCAAAGTAATGTTTATAGGAATAGTTAGGCTATAATATAGTTTTTAGTGTGTAAAAGTAGGTGTTTTTTCGCTGTAAATAGTTTTTATATCGTAGGTCAAAACTTGATATAATTCTATATTTATAGTATTGATATTTGTATTAAACGATTTATCAATTTGAAAATAACCTTAATTAAGTTAACATTCGTTGTTTAAGTTTCATTAGATAGGTTTTTATATATGGTTTTTTTGTAAGTTTGAGTTTTGTTCATAAATGATGTGGCATTTTTTATCTACGGCGTCATCGACTATGGGAATCCATTCGCCGGAGTCTGAAATCGGTGGTGAGGAATGTTTTCAATGAAACTATAGTAGGTATTAAAACGTAAGAGAAATTACATATTCATTTAATAAATAACGAAAATAATTAATTTTTGTTGTCTTTTTATTTTATCTCACATACAAATTTTTTGAATATATATATTAGGAAATATGTGCAATGATTTTTTGATCTCTTAATCTATATTATTCAAGCCTCATTAAGCCATCTACGTAGGTAGCCGTGTGGGATTCACTTTTTTTTTTTTTTGGTCGGTTCATTTTTGGATTCATTTTTTATTATTTTTGGGTTGAACTATATTATAATATGAGAGTTTTAAGGCTCTTTAAGCCATCCGCGTAGGAAACCGCGTGAGACTTGCTTTTTTTTTTGTTGTTCGTTTTTGCATCCATTTTTAACTATTTTTTGGTTTGAACTCACTAAGCTTTGGGTTTATCCAACTATTTTGATCTTTAAAACAATAAGCCAAAAAAACATAAAAACCTTATAAATAAAAAGCCCATATGTTAATAACCCAAATAAAAAAATTAAAAATAAATGATGGCTGTGTGGTTTGAACCCACGATCTTGTATGTTTAAACAGACACTTTATACCACTTGACTAAAGTTTATTTCATTGTTTGTAATCATCTTACCAAATCTATAGGTTTTTAAATACCTATGAGACCCACAAAACTGCTGACATGGCGCATTGTAGAACCTAGAAAGACTACTATTATAATATCTATATATATAAAGGAGAAGGATCTCTTCATTGGTGTTGCCACGTCAGTAGTAATGGAGGGGCATGAGAAGCAGCCACGTCAGCACTAATCAAACATCTTTTTCGTACAGAGCAAAAAAAATCGTTTCGACTGGGCTGTATTTTTGGAAGGGAAAAGTCAAATGTTTTCTAAATCCAAACCAACACGATATTACGNTATATATATAAAGGAGAAGGATCTCTTCATTGGTGTTGCCACGTCAGTAGTAATGGAGGGGCATGAGAAGCAGCCACGTCAGCACTAATCAAACATCTTTTTCGTACAGAGCAAAAAAAATCGTTTCGACTGGGCTGTATTTTTGGAAGGGAAAAGTCAAATGTTTTCTAAATCCAAACCAACACGATATTACGAAGCCCACTAAGTCTCTCTCCTCTTGCGTTTCCCTACGATGAATATCTGAATTTTTTCCCACTTAAATCAGTTCTTCAATCTCTCCTACTACGATGAATTCAATTATCTCATTCTCACAAATTCAGATAAAATCTCTAAAAAATATTCTATAAAAACCGTCTAAGAAACCTACAAAATCAAAGCTGCTTCAACAGAATATAAGAGTTTACGTGACTTATTAAACCACTCCTCCCACTATATCACATTCAGTTCACCTCCTCCTCTTCCATGATTACTGAAATATCTACTTCTCTATATATAAGGATTTTTTCTTCGGTGCAACTCATCACTCTCCCCATCTCCTTATTTGATTTTAGTGCATAGACATTAATTTTTTTTTTTAAATTAACATTTATATTAATTTTATTTTATTTTGGTGTATATAATATATATTTCATAGAAATTAAATGTGGTTTTAGATATAATATTAGTAAATCTCATCAAAAACATGTTAAATGTTAAGAAAATATAAAAATAACTCCATTGTGAATATAAAACAAAAAATACTATAATAGATTATTACTTATATAACATACGTATATATAGAAATTATTAATTAGTAATTTAATGGGAACATATATTTAAATAAAAATTTTCTAAAAAATATATATTAATTTATTGAGTTTTAATTTATAGAAGTTCTACTGTAATACATATTGAAAATAGATTTTTATTTCAATAAAGTAAATGAATTAATTTGAAATATTCAATAAAACTGTTAATATATATGTAATTTTTTACATACTAACCCGCCCGTAGGGCGGGCCAAACCCTAGTNTATTTAAATAAAAATTTTCTAAAAAATATATATTAATTTATTGAGTTTTAATTTATAGAAGTTCTACTGTAATACATATTGAAAATAGATTTTTATTTCAATAAAGTAAATGAATTAATTTGAAATATTCAATAAAACTGTTAATATATATGTAATTTTTTACATACTAACCCGCCCGTAGGGCGGGCCAAACCCTAGTAGATTATATAAGGGGTTCAAATTATCCTCGTATAGTTAATAGTTATTTAATTTTGATTTATGCTAAAAATGAATATGAAATTTGGTGAACACATTTAACTGAATATATATATATAAAAATGATGTTTTAGATTTTTTTTTTTTGGTTTAGTTATTTTATATTGTGTGAAATGATAATTTATTTATTATTAACAATTTTATTGAAATATAATCATTTTCATTCACTTTTAGCTTCTTTGAATTTAATTCAGATAATAAAATAGTAGGCAAATGTTTTGTTCGGACTTCTAATTCTTTTACTTATTTTTTTTTTTTTTTGCAAATCAATACCATTAAAAGAGGATCGTTCCTTTTAATGATTTTTTTTTTACATTTTCCAAAATTACCTTTAATGATATGAAAAAAATTTATTTTCATTAATGACAATATAGTCTTTTATTTTTGGACCTAAAACAATATAATCATAGATTTTATTAATGGGTTAAATTCACCTTCTAATAATTTATGAAGTTTTCGAGAAAAATAAACATATCAATCTTAATTGGCGTAGTTAGAGTTAAGAATTTTGATATTAGAATTTTGACCCTCCACGGAACAGGTAGATCGATTTGAAAAATTTAAGTTGCGGATGCGGATCCGGATCAAGTGTATTTTACGTGAAATGGATGCGGGTTGTTCTAATTTCAATTGAGATACCCGGTAATCCGAAAAAATAGAATTTTTTAAAGTTTACTTTTCAAAAATATACTAAATTTCGGTAAAATAATTATAGTTTTTTAAGTATTAAAATTTTAATTAAAAATATACTATTTCATATCATTTTTTTAAAAAAAAAATTGAAAATAATTTATTTATTATCTAATAATTATCCAGGGGTCTCGCAGATTACCCGCAAAATTAAGTGGGACAGATGTGG